GCCTTGCCTCGGGCGCCCGGCTCACTTCTTCCTGGCGCTGCTTCCCTGAGCCAAATGCCAGGAGGGTCATTCCCGCTCCCCCTGCGTAGCCTGGTGGAGAGGAAAGCCAGTGGCTTTCACTGGGCACACCTCACCCCTGTGCCCCACCTTCCGCGCTTGAGTCCTCCTCGGTACCTCAGGCTACCACTTGCCCCGGCTGTGTTTTCCTCGAGGGTCCTGCCATGAGATAACAGAGAAAGGGGGGCCCTAGAGTCAAAGAGAAGTTGGGCTGGACAGGACCCGCAGAGGTCATCTAGTCCAGTCCCCTGCCCCAGGCAGGATCATCCCTGTCGAAGACATTTTCTACAATCCATCATGGAAACCAGGGGTGGACAATGATTTGGGCTAGAGCACTGCTTAGGGGAGTTTGGTGAGCTCTTGTGGGCCAGGTCGGCATGCCCCCCACCCCCAAAGCTCACCAATGTTTCGGAAGTGGCTCTGCTCCATGCTCGGCAGGGTGGCTGGGATGGGGCTGCAGGCAGGCAGTGACATCCAGGAGCAGGACGGGCAAGATGGGCCAGGGCTGGGATTGTAAAGCCATGATGGCACAGGATCAGGGCTGAGTCGCAATCTGCTCCCCATATGCCCCTGTGACGGGCACCAATTCTGTGGGCAGGGGCATGTAGAGAGTGGATCATAGCTCTTCCCTGGGCCCCGGCCCCATGCTGTCACTGCCCACAATCCTGGGGTCTCTGTGGAGTCTTGTTGGGACCTGTGCAGGCAGGGTGCATGGCCAGGTGGATGAGATGGGGCTACAGGTGGGCAGGGAGTGGTGTCCTGGATGGGTGGGTGGGCTGGGATCTTGGGGCGGTGGCAGCATGGGGCCTGGGCTCCAGCACAGAGCTGCAGTCTGTTTCCCACACGCCCATGCAGGTCCCACCCCTGATGGTGGGTGCGGGGTGGATGGACTGGGGTGCCCAGGCAGTGGGGTTGGGTTTGGCAGCAACAGCAGCCAGAAGGAGCCGCTGCTGCTGGGGCTGCCAGAAAGTGAGTCTAGCCCTACTGCACACCTGGGGGTGGTGGGACCAGCCGCACACGCCATGGCCTGAACTGCCCCCCGACACATGGGCTGGGCGAGGTCAAGGGATACAGAGTCAGACGAAGTCTTTTGCCATATTTTGCCCACCCCAATCTAAACTCTACCTAAGACTACCGCCAATGCTATAGCATGCAAGGATGACTGCTCTTTAATCCTGATCTACTTGGGGAAGTTGGAAGGCTGGGGAATAAGGGAGTAAAGTATGTTACTTAGTGCCTTTGATGCTTCCTTCTGTGTGATGTTTCTTCCATGTCATGGTGCAGGCAGTGGAGTAAAGCTGTATGCTGGTCCTAATTCTCATGGTGGAAACAGGCAGAAGGAGTCTATCTGAGAACCTGTGAGTGTTCCCAGATCTATATGGATGCCCCAAGATATGGCTCAGGCCTTCATACCACTCCCTGGGCTCTTGCATGGCAGTTCAGTTGCCTGTGGGGATGTCATGTTACTATGCAGTTTTATTGCTAGTGTCAATAAACATCCTGCTATATCCCACTCTGAATGAGGAGGTAGCATGCAGCCAGGGGGTTGGGGCATAATGCTGGCTGGACTCTTCTAACTCTTGGACATGCTCCATCATGTGAAGTCCATGCAGATCAGTGGTTCTGACCTGGGGTGTTGTGAGCCCCTTCCAGGGGTTCTGTGATGTCTGTGTGGCCACAGCCAGGTTAAAATTCCTGTGGAGGTAGATGGGGAAGCAGCTGTGGTAGAGCCCATGTCCTTCCTGCAGCCTTCCCTGGTCCAACCCCACATGCTCCCCCATGAAACAGAGATGCCCTGGGCAGGTGGGCCTATCCCACACCCCTCTATTTCTGGGAGGAGCATGCAGGGTTGGACCAAAAGAGTGCATCCCCTTTGGCTGCAGCCCTTTGCGTTGCCTGTCCAGAGAGGTCTGGCTGGGCAGCAGCAGTCATTTGTATTGCTTACTAGATGAGTTCTGCTGTGCTGGAGCAACCCTTTGCACTAGCTGACTGGAGAAGCTGGGTATGGGAACCCCCAGGGCAAGACAGACCGCATTTCTTCCCTCCTCCCAACCCAGAGGCACAAAGGAGTTTTGTCCAGGGCTCAGAAATCATTAGGTAAGCCTGTGCTCCTGCCTGTTTTAGGTTTGCTAGAAAACCCTAATACATGCTGAAGCTTGTGGTACATCACCCTGGCTGCGAACCACTGAGGCAAGTGGAGGCAGCAATGGTTCTCAACTGAGGTGCTATCAAATTCAGAAAAGCTGTGGAGAGTGCCTTGACTCTAAAAAGGGTGAGGACCACTGACCTATATAACACTGTACAGCAACTTGTTTTCTACTTATCCCCTGATATGTGACAGGGGCCGGAGATCATTCAGAGTCCTCCGGATGCCACTTTACTCCCATTCACTTGGCTAAACTCATTTTTAATTGCCCGCTACACTGGGGTGGCTTGTGGTGCACGCACTACAAGTAAGTAGCATATAAGCCCTGGGTGCTCAGTAAAGGGAGGTGGAGGAGTGGACATAAGAGGAACTGAGTATTTGGCTACTTGGAGCAGAGTGGGGACAGGTTCCTGCTGCAAATGGAGGTGCCAGGTGTCAGCACTAGGAGTCAGCCTGTCCCTGGTTCTGCAGCTAATGCCAAATTTAGGGCTTTATATCCTCACTCACCATATCAACTGTGGTGGTTGCAGGGCCTGGCTGTTGGCAGTGACACCTCTCTTACAGCAGCATCTGGCTTCTGCTCCACCCTGCTCAGCCAAAGGCTCAAGGCCCCCCTGCCTCCATTCCAGCGCCCAGGGTGGAAAATCTCTCAGGTGCACCTTTGGGGGGCAGGAATCAGAATGCTCAGAGTGGGGAAGGCCAAGACCTAACTTGTGCCCTGCCTACCAACAATGTTCTACACAAAGCAGCTCAGGAAAACACATCATGCAATATAGTTAATAGAAAATGGTTTAAGAAATCTGTGACTAAAATCTAATGCCATTGGCATGTGGCCCTGGAGTCCCATGGGAGCAGGGTTTGGCCCATGTTGCTTAAGTTTTACTGACATTGACCTTGCAAGTCCCCCCTCCCCCACAGGGAAGCGTGCTTGTTTGTGAGATCTTCTTCTAAAAAAGGGAAAACGTGCCCTCCGGGGCTGTGAGGTAACGTTTGTGTGTCACTGACGCACATCTCCTTGTGATGTAAAAATATCTAAATGAAGGTCTCAAGGGACTCTCAGACAGATACCAAAATTACTTTCTCTTCAGTAAACAGAAGGTGGTTCTAAGAGGAGACTTTCTGCTATAAGCAGAACTACTTTAGATTCACATGCAGGTTTATGCAAATCTTGTGTTCCGATCGCTCAGAGATGATCTTGTTTGCAAAGCTCTTTATCTACTTTTATCCTGCTATTTCCCCTGAGTTTACTTGCAGCACTTTTAAATAAAGTATTGGTTTCCTGGTCTAGTCAACCTGGGAGACTTTGATAACATGTTGGTTAATAATTATTTTGGGCGATTAGTACTCAGAATGTTTTCACTTTACTATGCATTCCAGTGACAGACAGCAAGCAGCCATTTTCTTATGTACAGCTTAAACGCAGAAGCTCCTGCCTAGACCCAAGGGCTGAGGTCGGCCAAGGGAATTAAGTATGGTAACACCATACCTAAGTTTAGGTGTTGGCTCTGGGCATGGAATTCAACCCAATCCAAGCCAAGGTGCCTGAAGTGCCTAGTACACTAAAAGGGGAGACGTAGGTACCTCAAGAATGGGGTTTTCAACAGCCAGCGCAGCACACTGGTTGGGGAGATAGCAAGCCAATAGGAAACACAGAAGAGAGGTGTGTGCCTGAAATCCCTCCTCTCCTCCAGACTTGGGCACCTGCCTTGCAGGCTTGAGGGAGAGGTGCCAACAGGAGACTGGGATTCACAGCCCAAAACTCCCTCCTGGGCTTAGGCACCAAAGTCATTCCCTTGTGTACAGATTTGCTCTTTTCCTTTTGAAGATGGCTGGTGGTGGTGCCCAAGTTTCAGATGAGTAGTTTTGGGACTGAAAAAGGATATTGCATTGACCTGGGTAGACTCTTAGCCTAAGGTAACGTAAGATGTGCTCTTTCAGTACCCAGTGTAGTCAGTGCTATGATATTAGCAGCCCCCAAACTTACTAGCTCCGCTCCTTCTTGAGACTTCCAATAGCTAGTTCTGGACCTGCTGCAAATGAGTAGAGGTAGCAGCCCTGAACCTGACTGGGTCCCTTTGTTTTCAAGTTTTTAAGAGCAGCCCTTTGACAGCTGCTTCCCCTTTGCTCTTTCTGGAGCAGTTAGACAGGGTATATGACTGGTTATAAAGTAGACGTGGATTTACAGCTACCATGCAATTAACTGGAATAATCTTAAATTACAAGGCAGAGAGAGGGGCTAAAAAATGCTACACTTTTAAACAGCTTTGCTATTAAATTTTATGCAGACAATGAGAGTATATTATGATGTAAGCACTGGACAACAGTTGGGACAGGTGTTGTATTATGTAGTTAAGCGAATGATGCACTTACCTGGTATCCATGTAAGTGGAGTGCACTGCAGTAGCCTGGTAGTTGGGGTCCACCCCAAGGCTCTGAGGTGGTTCACTGGGGCTTTGTGGCTTTCTCAGATTCTACCAGAATTGCACTTTTAGGTGCTGAATCCTTTCTTGGATCTGACACTAAGTGTGCCAGGTGCTGAGAATCTTCATTCTTGCAGGAGCTGCTGCCACCCTCAACCTCCTGACAGCACATGTACAAGACCAAGAATTAGGTCTTGGTATAATGAGGATCCTGGGCCTGATGCTGCTTCAATTGAAGCTGCTGGCTTCTGTCTTCAGTAGGAGGGAACTGGGTCCTCAACAAAGGACCAGCATTTGATACTCTGGTAAACAGACTGGTCTTGGATCTTTCATTCAGGCAGATCACAAGCACTTCGCAGACTGTCAGTACTGACCACGGGCTAAATAACATCCCTAGGGTAACCCCTCTGAAGTCATTAAAGTTACACCAGGCACCAAGTTAGCCTTGTTGATAAACTTTTCTTCACATACCACTTACTGCGGTCAACTCAGTAGAAGCATAGCAGCTGTCTGACAGCACCCTGTGGCACAAAATAGGAAAATGAAGGCTGTATCCTGCCAAAACTCAGGAGTCATTAAATGGACAAAATGCAGTTATGCCCAAGGAGGACTTTTAAGTCCCTACTCTTGGAAATATTGGCTAATTAATGACCAGAAGTGATCAGAACCCCAGTTTTACACTCTGGTAACCAGAGACCAGCTGCTCAGTGTCTACCAAGAACATAAGGGCCACAGCCTGGTAGCATGTTTATACCACATCAGACCATGCTAGGGAATGGTGCTGTAAAAATGCACCTGCCCATTCTCTCATGCTTTTTGCATGCTGAACAAAATGTCAAGTAATTGCCATACTCACAAGTACACCTGAGCCTGAGAGCCATGCTATGTATTGGCCAGAAAAGCAGCTACAGGGAAGTGGAGCAAGTGACTGGTGTGTCTTTTCATGACAGTGCTCATTAACCTACTCCAATGCAGTGCAGACATAGCCTTACCTCCAAACACTCCTCAAAGATGACCCTGAGGTCCCTCTGTCTTAGAGCCTGAAAGGATGGATAAAGCTGTGTATGGTACAGGTTCTGGTCCAAGGCCTTAGGAGACTTTTACTGTATTCTTTGTGCTTCTCTGGACCATCTATGACTGTAGGCAGGTCTGTTTAGATTATAAATTATTTGAGATAGGGACTTTCTCATTGTTTTTGCACAATGCTGGCATAATGGGGCTCCAGTCTCTGTCAGGGCTGTTTAACAATACTGGATCATCATCTCATTATGCACAGTGCCACATCATTGTGATGTAGTATATTTTATAATGTAGATTTTAAAAGGGGCAACCTCAGTTCAAGCTGAATGTAAAGCTTATATTCTGTAAATATTAATTCTTGCTAATTTTTTTTCAGTTTGCTATCTTGACAAATTGACTTCTTTCCGTGAAATCCTTCCTTCCTCTTTCATGTCCTTTTGACAAGGTATTTAGTAGAATTCACAGATTCATTGGAATCTAACAGGGCCATGCTGTGAGCACTTCTGCTGTGGCTTTGATTTTGTGACCTCTGAGCTGTCAGCTGTACACCTTAGCACCCATGGTACCCCAGCCCTTTTCCATGTAATGAAAAAATCTAATGGGATCCTGCATTGCTTGCAACACTACAGACTTTTTATAAAGTAAAGAAATTCATGCTTTACTGCTGAAATAAAATGGCGCCAGAAGTATACACTAGATTTTAAACTTTTTGATAATTTAAGGCAGGGCTGCCCAACTGATGTCCCAGGGGTTGCATATGGCCTGTAAGGTGCTAACTCATGGCCCCTGGGGCTCCTGCATGGCTGCTGCTCCAGCCATTGCTTCAGCTGCTGCAGCTGCTGCTGCAGGGTCTCTGGGCTCCCCATCCCTCATCGTGCTTCTGCTTCCTTCCTTCAACCCCAGGGACATGGCATCATGGCCCACGGAGTCTGGGGCTCAAGGGACCCTGCACAGCGGGGTTGCCCATGCATTGAGGGGAGCCTGGAGGAACCCATGCAACAAGGCAAGCATGGTGGGGGAAACATGGGAGATCCTGCCTGCACAGTGGTGGGGGAGTCCGTGCAATGCAGGGGGGAAAGGCAGGAGTTGGGGGAACCTGTGCAATAGTCCCCAGGTGCTGAGAAGCAGGACAGACCTGATCCAAGGTGCTCTAACAAGTTATGGAAAGGAAATGAATTTGTGCAAAATGAGACTTGGAAAATGTTCCTTATTGTGTATTGTCTTTTACTAATGAAGCATTAACCTGTGAAACTCCTTGCCAAAACATGTAGCTGACTTGAAGCACAGGATGACAGAGGAGCTTAGTTAGAGTAAGGACCTATACTTTTAACTGTGGACTTCCTTATCCAGGCACAATAGTGTGTGGCTGGCTTGTGCCCTGAAGCATGAAGGTGCATATTCCTTATGTGTTTATGTCAACCACTGTGGGGGGGAGAGGACTCATTCTATGAAAGGCCTTCCTAGAATTCTCCATTTCTTTCACATTTCTGTGCCAGCTTGTATTTGATGCTTCAGGGGCAGGTACTAGACTAGTTACACAATTGTCTGAACCAGTGTTCGCTCTGGCAAGGAGGAAAAGTGAGCATAGAAATGCATCTTATGCTGTCACTGGTTTTGTTAAAACAATTCTCGCACTGTAACATACCTGCAGGTCACATTTGTTCCCTCCTTGAGGCTTTCTTTACAATCTAGATTAAGAAACAATTTTCAGTATTTTTAGGTTCTCAGCCACAATTATACAGCAAGTAGTGGCCAGGAGTGAAATCCTGAAATAGGGAAGCTGTAGCCATAGAATCCATAGGCATTTCAGTACTGCTTGAGGTCTTGATTTAAACCAATGCTCTCTTAATTCTTTGCCTCAGACATGGGGATTAAAGATGCTATATAGGAAGTTTATTTCCTGAAATGTGACAGTTAAGGGAGAAGCGGTCAAAACTGGATTTATAAAGGAAAATGTCTTGGAGCCTTAGCTATGGAGTTGCTGTCATGGTTCCATGCTGGAGACTCTGATGGGACCTGATGAAACTCATTTCAGTTTCACACATAAGTAGGCATCTCGCAGGCAGTTTGCAGAATGAGCATCTGACAAATACAGTATGGCCATTGTAACTTCCTGTAAGTCTTGAGACACCGTATTTAAATAAAGACCTTTTTATTATAGAGGTTTACTATATTTAGTGCAGGTTCCTCTGCTTCAGTCTGTAACTTGTGGGCTCGTACCTGAAAACTAACATAATCCACATAATCAACTAAAGTTAATCATTTTTTTACAATAGGCTGGCCTTTCTTTTACCTTAGACTTTCAACCAGCCTATTCAATCTGAAAATTTCCATTTGTGGCTTTTCACACTCAAAATTGGGTAGGAAATTCCCCTCTTCAAGGGGGGTTTGTGAGAATGAAACATCTACTCAGATTTTAGCAGAGGAAATACAAGTGTGAGTTCAGCCAGCCATACAACTGCTCTGTAAATGCAGAAGACATCTGCTCATTCTGCTTATATCTGCTACTCTGTTAAACTTCCATCAAGTTCAGAGCTCATGTATATGAGTCAGAAAGAAATGAGAATTGGTTTCTTTGCTGCAAGTCTAAGGTAAGATTTTGGTTGCAGAGTTGACACTTCTCCCTGTTCTCCTCTTGCACCTGCACAGGAGTCCCTGGGGCTTGTGACGTATTGATTGCATATACAGATGATGCCACTGAATGGTGTCAGTATCTTCAGAATCTCTTCATCTCTTCTCGGCAAGTTCGAAAGCAGCGGATTCTGAGCTACAAGGTGGAGAGTGGGACTGCCATTCCCCATGAGGAGCTGGACCTATTCCGTAGTAGCCGATGCATCGTTGTGTTGCTCTCTGGTGAGCTAGTGCAAAACTTTTACATCCCTGCTGCCCTTCAGAGCCTTCAAGAAGCTTTGCATCCCCCACACAAAGTGGTCAAACTGTTTTGCGGTGTCACAGATTGTGATGACTATCTGACATTTTTCAAGGAATGGTCTCAGTGGAAAGAGCTCACCTATGATGATGAGCCTGATGCTTACCTTGAAGCTATCAAGAAAGCTATTTCAGAAGGTAAGTTGGTCGCCTTGGCTGCATGTTTCCTTCACCAGGGAGGCAGTGTGTGATGTTATTGATCTCCATTTTGTGTGCTGTAAAAGTGTTTCCCTGAGAACACAAAATATAGCAAATCCTATAAGCCTCTTGAATCAAGGAAGCTCTCCAGACCAGAGCCCTTTACATCTACCCCACCAATGGGTTTTTCATTGGGAAAAATTCTCAACAACCTTCAAACAGTTCTTTTATTTGGAATGCTTCATAGCTACTTATAATTGAAGAATCCCTAACATGGGCTCCTAGAAAGCAAACTTTATTTTTTCAGTTAGGTAATATTGTTTGTTTTACAGGTACCAGTGCATTTTCCAGTAGTCACCTTTGTTAATCAAAAAATTCAGCCAAACTGGAAACGTGCTTCTGATCTGGGCAGTGGGGAAAACATTGGCTTTGCTCTACCATCCCCACTGAAGGCTGTTACTATTCACTATGATGCATGTGACATCTGAAAAAGGCCAAAGCCCTCTTTTTAGTTCATAAGCAGTACTGGGGGTTCAATACGTTCAGAAATGTTAACGGGCTCTAGAGAACCCTGAGCTGTGAAGCCCTGTCTGAGTCTAAACTTTGCCAGAAATCTGGGGATGCTCACAGTGCTGTCCTACCAAAAAGTTTTTACAGTAACAAATCAAGAGAACAGTGCTAGGCTTTAGGTTTGTGCTACAGCCAGAAGTTTCTGTGAGTGCCAGTAATCTCCAGTAATCCCACGGGGGATTGAGAGTTGCTGGTATATCTCAGGGTCTGAACCTAAAACCTTATCTATACTGGAAAGTCCTGCCTCTTTAATGATGCAATATAATTGTCAAGTTTGGTCAATAATACTTAAAAAGATATCTAAGTTTTGCCACATGGGAAAGGGAATAACTGTCCTGGTATAAACCACTTTTTTACTGTTGTAATTATTATGGTAAAAAAAAATCATGCTTGTAAACAGAGTAGTCATAACAATAACATTATTTAGTATAGACCAAGTTATGTTCCCAGCACAGCTGAGCCACAGTAACTCCTCCATAGCTCAGGCTGCAGTGAAATATCTGCATGAGCTCAAATTTGGATCCCTCTTTCAAATTCACCAAACCTACTTTGACTTCAAAAAGGTTAGGTTTGGGAGCAAGGCAGGAGTTTCTCTGCTAAACTGGATGTGAATAGGGCAAAAGACAGCTAAACTTCTTTCCCACAAGAACCAGAACCAGATTTCAAAAGTCTATTTGCTGCTTTGCAGGGGAAAAAAATCCTCCTCTAGGGGAGATATAGCACATGGTACTAACTTTTAGCTGATTAAAACATATTTCCAAAGTTAGTCTTTGGGAATGTCTGTACAGCAGCAATTTTACTTAAGACTATCAAAGGGCCATTGGAAACCTATACCTTTAAAATGGTAGTAGGAATCAACTGTTAGCTTCTTTGGTGCAGATAGCTGTCTCATGTAACTTGACTGATGGGGAGGCTTGTTAATGGGGGTTAGTGGGAGAATGTTAATTGATGGATTGCTGGTCTCTTTATAAGCCTGGCAAATGTTTGATGAAGTTTCTCTAGTCCTTCCGAAGTGAGGAAACCGCTATGAGAAGGAAGGACTTGTCCTTATTCATCTTATTCTTCCAAATGCCCACTGTTTATCATTCTCCTTCCTGACATCCCCATATCCTTTGATGGCTCCTAATGTTTGAGTAGCGCCAGTGTGCACACGTGGGAGCAGTGTGCACTGCTCAAAACTGGAGCCTGGCTGACCAGAGCCACGCTCCAGCTTCTGGCCAGGCTCTGCACACTGGATCACTGCCACTGAAGTCCTGGGAGGCCCTCAGGACCCCAGGTAAGGCTGCTGGGGGCATCCCAGGTGCTGGCCCCAACCTTTCCTGCCCCACCTAGGGCAACTTGCCGCACACCAGAGTGTGCATGTATGGATGTTCCCTGGGGACAAGTAGCAGTGGCACAACTCATCCACTTTAAGTTAGAGGAGATGATTTTTCCCTCAGTTGCCAGGAACTGAGAATATAGCTAAGGTTACACTGGAAAAGATGGCACCCAAGATAATTGCAGTTTGTTCCAGAGAAGCCACTTATTTGTACCCAAACACTAAAACAACAGCCAATCTGTGGTCTTACTTCATACAGACTGGGAATCACCTTATGCTAAGTCTTGTTCTGCATGCACGTCTTCTAACTTAATAATATAAGCTTGTGTAGTTCCTATGGAAGGTGTGCTACCTCTTAATGATAGCTGACTAACTAGCAACTTCTGGAATCATGGGTCTGACCTTCCAGGTTCTGGGTGTCTACTGTGAAGTGCCAGATGGTCTCTGCATCTCTCAGGACCAGCCCCTATAGAAGAGATAGGAAATGATTCCATTCTGCATGGTGCTGTATTTGTCTAGTAGGGAACTGGTACAATTCTTTCCAGTATGGATAACCATAATGTAGTATGATTGCTCTACAACTACAGTGAAACTTCTTGTGGGCAGGTGGTAGGAGTCTGATTTTCTCAAATGGATTCTTATAGCTTTCTCTATACCTATTCTTCTGAAAGGTAACATGCACTGAAACCACTGACACTTGCCTGCAACATCAGTTACAGCTAAATGCTATTTTAAGGAAGATTGTGAGGTTTTGTGGTACAATTTTCGTAATGAAAAACCCATCAAACTTTGTTCAGTTGCTTCACCTGAACTCAAATGCATATATTGCTAGTTGGCTTTATTGTACTAGAGGCAAAAATTCATCAGAAGAAAAGATAGTGTAAAAAAAATACCTCGGTTAAAACTAATTCCTATTTACCAGGATGTTTCTCATAGTCTTTTTTTCCAGGTAGTATGATTATGACTGGAATGACTTGCTTTATTCAAATTTTAACATTAACTCCCTCCCCCCCTCCCAACCTGTCTGGCACCTGGGACCATTTGAAGTATATAATGAGACACTTCTAAGATTATCAAAGCAAACAGTTCTTTGTCACTGACTCTGAATTGTGAATCTGCTTAAAATATGTTATTCAAAACAAGATATAACTGACATCTTACATTAAAAATTCTCTTGTTCACTGAGTGTGGATACACAATCCATAACCCACCTCCGGCTGGACTGTGATATGATTGCAGAAAAGGTGGGATTGTAATTAAGGCTTTGTGTAACCTTGGTTCAGTTCTAGTCTCTGCAACAGACTCCCTCTATGTTCTTGGGTAGGTCATTTAACCCTTCTGTGCCCTAGTTTGCAATTTTCTGCTAATGCTGCATCCCTTTCCCCACCCACTTCCATTCACATTTATGCCACAGGGGAGCATTAATGTGCATTAACCTATTTTAATGCGCATTAAAGCATCACAAAAAACTGTGTTCTTTAGCTAATGTGCATTAAAATAGGTTAATGCACATTTTTCTAGTACCTGTAGACTTGCTGGGAGGCTGCTACAACATGCTGTTACAGTTCATTGGAGGAGACTCAATTAATTGAGTCTGCTGGAGTGTGCTAATTAGCATGCCAGCCTCCATGACTCGTGTATTAGCGTTCCTGTGCATCAGCTCATTTGAGGAGCATTAGTTAAGGTGCCCCTGCCGCCAGGGACACTGATGTGTGAGATGCACAAGACACTGTGGCACTTTAATTAGCGTGGCTCCCCCACTACCCACAAAGCACATGTAAAAATGTCCGGAGGAGGTAGTAGATTTAATGTGATTATCTAAAGTGCATTAATGAATGTGTAGACATGCTCAGGGTGTCTCACTCTACAGTGCCTAGGATAATGCTAGTACAATGTGCCCTGATATTGTCTGAGGCTTCTACTAATAATGTATCCCTGTCTGCCTGACCTACTTGATCTCTTTCTGTCTCTCATGATGGTTATAACTGGACATGTCCCACTGTAGTGGCAGCACCAGCAGCAAATGAACAACTAGTGAAATCCTAAAATTTCTGTTACTTGAATTCCTGACCGACTGAGCATGTAATAAAGAGCATCATAATGACAGGTAACTGGTAGAATGCTATATTTTGGCTCTAGCATTTGGTAATGGTTGTCAGTATGTTTGGGCCCTGCTTTGTGGTCTGCGATATTGCCCCCACTGCAGCTGGTAGTGTGGTTTACTTCATACTTCACTGCTGTGTCCCACCCTCAGACATCACATGCAGAATGCTATTTTAACTGCAGTTCTGGTTCTATAGGAAGTCAGAAATGCAGAAGCTCTTGTAGAGCCTGTTGCTTGTAATTGAAATTTTGTTGCTCTTTAGTACTCACAAGGAGTTGTTGGGTGTTTCTGTTGTTTTCAGAGTTGTCATTTCAAGCACACCTACTAATTAACCTATTATGCAAAGCTTTCTGTACTCACATGAATAATTCCAGGTTTTCACCTGAAAGTGAAATGGGAAAGTGAGCTTCTGCTAGGATTCTTAGTGAAAACTTCCCTGTAATAAGAACCATGCCCCAAGTTACTTAAAATTGAGTTCTGTATCCAGAAATATAGTTCACATGTGGAAGAGACATGGAAATTGGAAAGTATGTCTGGAGAGATCAGTTCTGAAAGACACCATACAAAGTGTTCTTTCAGGGGACTGGAGATGAGGGTAACTGCTTGGTGTTTAAGTGAAAGGCTGTTGTAGACAAAAAAAAGTGTAGGAGATGTACTCTGGGGCAGATAGCAGGAATGCTTGGGAGGTGATGGGCAGAAGGAAATGATCTGAGAAGCTGGTGGGACAGGAGTTCTGCAGAAACTTTTAAGATGATGGAGACAGCTCATAAGGGACTGAAAATTGACTCCAGATTAAATTGATGTGCAGTCATGGAACAGGTCAGTGAGCCTTGTTAGATAATATGAAAGCTTGATATAATCTTATGAAATCATGCACTGAGCCACCACCAGCAATAAAAACAAATTCTGTGCCATTTGAAAGTCCTGATGAACCATGCTATGACACTCTTGTTAACTCTGTTGGTAATAAAACCAAGGAATTCCTTTTCCCTAAGGCATCCCTTGGCA